TTGACCACATAATTGGAAGTAAAGCACTGCTCAACAAATGCAAAACAATGGAAATCATAACAAACAGCCTCTCAGACCACAGTGCAATCAAGTTAGAACTCAGAATACAGAAACCAACCCAGAACCGCACAGCTTCATAGAAACTGAACAACTGGCTCTTGAATGTTGACTGGGTAAACAATGAAATGAAGACAGAAATAAAGAAGTTCTTCGAAACCAATGAGAATGAAGACACAACATGCCAGAACCTCTGGGACACATTTAAAGCAGTCTCCAGAGGAAAGAGTGCCCATATGAAGAGAATGGAGAGATCCAAAATTGACACCCTATCGTCAAAATTGAAAGAGCTAGAGGAGCAAGATCAAAAAAACTCAAAACCCAGCAGAAGACAAGAAATAACTAAGATCAGAGCTGAACTAGAGGAGATTGAGACACTAAAAACCCTTCAAAAAATCAATAAATCCAAGAGCTGGTTTTTTGAAAAGATCAACAAAATAGGCAGACCACTAGCCAGATTGATTAAAAATAAAAGAGAGAACAACCAAATAGATGCAATAAAAAATGATAAACGGGAAATCACCACAGACTCCACAGAAATTCAAACCATCATCAGACAATATTATAAACAACTCTATGCACATAAACTAGTAAACCTGGAAGAAATGGATAAATTCCTGGACTCCTGTGTCCTCCCAAGCCTAAACCAGGAGGAAGCTGAAACTATGAATAGACCAATAACAAGGTCAGAAGTCGAGGCAGCAATTAAGAGCCTACCACACAAAAAAAGCCCAGGTCCAGACGGATTCACAGCCGAATTCTACCAGACACACAAAGAGGAGCTGGTACCATTCCTTCTAAAACTATTTCAAACAATCCAAAAAGAGGGAATACTTCCCAAATCATTTTATGAGACCAACATCATTCTGATACCAAAACCCGGCAGAGACCCAACGAGAAAAGAAAACTTCAGGCCAATATCCATGATGAACATAGATGCAAAAATCTTCAATAAAATATTGGCAAGCCGATTGCAACAGCAAATCAAAAAACTTATTCATCATGATCAAGTAGGATTCATACCGGGGATGCAAGGCTGGTTCAACATACGCAAGTCTATCAATGGCATTCACCACATAAACAGAACCAAAAACAAAAACCACTGATTATCTCAATTGACGCAGAGAAGGCATTCGACAAAATTCAACAGCCCTTTATGCTAAAAACCCTCAATAAACTCGGTATCGATGGCACCTATCTCAAAGTAATAAAAGCTATTTATGACAAACCAACAGCCAATATCATACTGAATGGGCAAAAAATGGAAGCATTCCCTTTGAAATCTGGCACTAGACAAGGATGCCCTCTTTCACCACTCCTATTCAATATAGTACTGGAAGTTCTAGCCAGAACAATCAGGCAAGAAAAAGAAATAACGGGTATTCAAATAGGAAAGGTGGAAGCCAAATTGTCTCTATTTGCAGACGACATGATAGTATACCTAGAAGACCCCATCGCCTCAGCCCAAAAACTCCTGAAACTGATAAGCAGCTTCAGCAAAGTCTCAGGATATAAAATCAATGTGCAAACATCACAAGCATTCGTCTACACCAATAACAGACTTAAAGAAAGCCAAATCAAGAACGAACTGCCATTCGCAATTGCTACAAAAAGAATAAAATACCTTGGAATACAACTCACAAGGAACGTAAGAGACCTCTTCAAGGAGAACTACAAACCACTGCTCAACGAAATCAGAGAGGACACAAACAGATGGAAAAACATTCCATGTCCATGGTTAGGAAGAATTAATATTATGAAAATGGCTATACTGCCCAAAGTAATTTACAGAATCAACGCTATCCCCATCAAGCTACCATTGACTTTCTTCACAGAACTGGAAAAAACCACCATGAACTTCATATGAAACCAAAAGAGAGCCCGCATAGCCAAGTCAATTCTAAGCAAAAAGAACACAGCAGGGGGCATCACACTATCAGATTTCAAACTATGCTACAAGGCTACAGTAATCAGAACAGCATGGTACTGGGACCAATACAGAGATATAGACCAATGGAACAAAACATAGGCACCGGAGGCAACACAACATATCTACAACTATACAATCTTTGATAAACCTGACAAAAACAAGCAATGGGGAAAGGATTCCCTGTTTAACCAATGGTGTTGGGAAAACTGGCTAGCCATGTGCAGAAAGCAGAAACTGGACCCCTTCCTGACACCTTACACTAAAATTAACTCCAGATGGATTAAAGACTTAAACATAAGACCTGGCACCATAAAAACCCTAGAAGGAAATCTAGGCAAAAGTATTCAGGACATAGGAGTAGGCAAGGACTTCATGAACAAAACACCAAAAGCATTGGCAACAAAAGCCAAAATAGACAAATGGGACCTCATGAAACTCCACAGCTTCTGCACGGCAAAAGAAACAGTCACTAGAGTGAATTGGCAACTAACAGAATGGGAAAAAATTTTTGCAGTTTACCCATCTGACAAAGGGCTGATATCCAGAATTTACAAAGAACTCAAACAGATTTACAGGAAAAAAACAAACAAGCCCATTCAAAAGTGGGCAAAGGATATGAACAGATACTTTACGAAAGAAGACACATATGAGGCCAACAATCATATGAAAAAATGCTCATCGTCACTGGTAATCAGAGAGATGCAAATCAAAACCACATTGAGATACCATCTCACGCCAGTTAGAATGGCGATCATTAAAAAATTTGGAGACAACAGATGCTGGAGAGGATGTGGAGAAAAAGGAACACTTTTACACTGTTGGTGGGAGTGTAAATTAGTTCAACCATTGTGGAAGACAGTGTGGCGATTCCTCAAGGCCTTAGAAATAGAAATTCCATTTGACCCAGAAATCCCATTACTGGGTATATATCCCAAAGACTATAAATCATTCTACTATAAGGACACATGTACACGAATGTTCATTGCAGCACTGTTTACAATAGCAAAGACCTGGAATCAACACAAATGTTCATTGATAATAGACTAAATTGGGAAAATGTGGCACATATACACCATGGAATATTATGCAGCAATCAGAAATGATGAGTTTGTGTCGTTTGTAGGGACATGGATGAATCTGGAGAACATCATCCTCAGCAAACTGACACAAGAACAGAAATTGAAACACTGCATATTCTCACTCATAGGAGGGTGATGAAAAATGAGAACACATGGACACAGAAAGGGGAGTACTAAACACTGGGATCTATAGGGTGCAAAAGGGGAGGGGGCCAGTGGGAGGGGGAGGTGGGGAGGGATAGCCTGGGGAGAAATGCCAAACGTGGGCGAAGGGGAAAAGGAAAGCAAAGCACACTGCCATTTGTGTACCTACGCAACTGTCTTGCATGCTCTGCTCATGTACCCCAAAACCTAAAATTCAATAAAAAATTTTTTAAAAAAAGATGATTCTACGTAGAATGTTTCAAATGTATGATGGGTTTATTGGGTAGTAAGTGGATTTTCAACTTATGATAGGTTTATCAGCTAAACTCTGGAAGAATATGTAGACCAATGGAACACAAACAAAGTCCAGAAATAGACCCACAAACATACGGCCAACTTATTTTTCACAAAGGCACAATGGCAGTGTCATGGAGAAGGGACAGCCTTTTCAACATATGCTGCTGGAACTATTAGATATCCACATCCATAAAATGATCTTGCATCCACACCTCACTCCACGTGCAAAAGTGTACACAAAGTGGATTGCAGATCTAAACATAAAACCTAAAACCATGACAATTCTTCAAGAAAGCAGAGAAGAAAATCTTTGAAGCCTTGTGCTGGACAAAGATTTTTTAGATATGAGACACAAAGCAAAATTCATAATTAAACAAACGGATGTATCAGACTTCATCAAAATGAAAAAACTAATATATTATCAACAAAAAGTCAAGCCACAAACTGGGAAAAATCATTCCAAGGAGAATCTATTTTTAAAAACCTCTTAAAACTCAACAAATAAGAATAAAAACTATGTAATTTTTAAATCTTTATAAGCTATCCAGATTGGAAAAGATGAGTCACTAAAGAAGATATACAGGTGGCAAATAAGCTCATGCGAAGATGTTCAGCAGTCTTAGTCCTTAGGGTAATGCACATTCACACCATCATGACACACACAACATGTACCCATTAGAATGGCTAAAACTAAAAACTAATTAACAGCAATACTAACAGCTCACGATGATATGGAACAATAAGAATTACCAAATACTACTGATAGGAATGGAAAGTAGTACAAATACTTAAACATTTAGTAGTTTCTTAATAAGGGAATACAAAGGGACAGGAAGAAACTTTTATGGATGATGGGTTTGTTACTGCTCTTGATTATGGTGATGCTTTAACATGTGCATACATATGCCAAAACTTATCAAATTGTAGTCTATCACATACCAGTTATACCTCACTAAAGCTATCAATTGCAGGAATAAACATCTAAGACAATGGCAAGGTCACAGAGGAAAAAAAGGTATTACAAGATGCAGGAGAGAGCTAGAGGATTCAAATCTTAACCTTATAGCAATGGGATGTGGTAAGCTGAGTTATGAGCAAGAGACATTAGATATGAATTATTAAAAATGAACAATTATAGTTTCAGAGTAGACCATGGTCTCCGGAAGTAGGGTAGCAGGAAAAACAGTTCTAAGGTTATTGCAGTACTCTTGAGTGGGAAAGAATGGTAACCTGATCTGAAAGGAAGGCATAGGTGAGAAGCAGAGTCAACAAAAACGCTGAGACTGCCCTTCACACTGATAAAGGGACAAGAGAATTATCATAGCTCTTTGGTAGACAATATATATTATTTCTCAGTCTGTTTTAACATTAAACTTATTTCTGAGATAATCAACCTTATCACATGTCAGTGCTCTACCATGCAATGCTAAGCAATGTGTGTGAATATTACTGTAGGATACAAACAAGGCCTTCTACTTATGTAGTACTCACACCATTAAAATCCATGTTGAGTTGTTCATTGAGCAACATATAAGTCTCATAATTAGAGTAAAGCAAATCATAATCCTCTGAGGCTACTTCCGATGGCCAACTTATGTCATCAAGATCATCCACTGAATGTATTTGGCTTTTGACCTGTAAGACAAATAACACTGTTTCAAATGTCCGCAAAGTATTTATAGAATATACTAGATGTAAAGAAGTGGTATTTATTCATCTTTTTATATGAGCAAAACCACAGGCACTTCTTTTTGCTTTTTTTTTTTAAGACAAAGTCTCACTCTGTCACCAGGCTGGAGTCCAGTGGCTCAGTCTCAGCTCACTGCAACCTCCGCCTCCTGGATTCAAGTGATTCTCCTGCCTCAGCCTCCTGAGTAGCTGGGATTACAGACATGCACCACGACACCCAGCTAATTATTGTATTTTTAGTAAAGACAGGGTTACACCATGTTGGCCAGGATGGTCTCAATCTCCTGACCTTGTGACTCACCCGCCTTGGACTCCCAAAGTTCTGGGTTACAGGTGTGAGCCACTGCACCCAGCCCAAGGCACTTTTAAAACAACAGATTTTTCTTAAAAGGCCATTATCAATGGCCACTGTTCCTTAAGCCCTTTTTCTTCTAACTAAATGTCTTTATAACAAAATATTCTCACTTTACCTTTTGTAATGTGTTTTTTTGACAATAATGTTTTAGATAATTTACTTTTAACAGTACCTTGTTGTTTTCATTAGGTTTCTTTTCAGGGCTGAAAAAAGAAACAATTCCTTTTAGACAAATAGCAAATACATAAAGTAAAAAGAATGTCCAAAACTAGTGTTATTATATAAAATCTCTGCATTTATATGTTATTCCTTCTATCCATTAAGTTTTCAGGTCATTTTTTAAGAGGTAATGTAAATATAATCGTTTTCACAAGGAGAAATAAACTACAAACAGAAAGAGTAACATTAAGTGAGAAAGAAAATATGGTAAAAATAATATCATTACAAAGAATTAAATTTAGATCACACTTCCTGAAAGTCAAGACAAAAGAAAAAATATGTTACTTGTATTATGTGATAGAAAGAAATATACCAGGACTTCTCATTGTTGTCTTTTTCAATAAAAACAAGTTTTACTGGCACTAAATCCTAACTGGAAAACATTACTTTTCTTCTTACATGAGGGGAACCCTTTTTTAACGATAATATTATCTTTTCCAGGATTTATGCAGGCACTATGCATCATTCTAAGTACTGTGCATGCGTCAAGCTCATTTTAGTCATCATAACATCTCTGTGAGCTAGGTAATATATTAGGGATTCTATTAAAGGAGAAACTAGGCGCAGAAAGACCATATAAATGTCCCCAGCCCATTGAGCTGGTCAGTAGTTGACAGAGCACTAAAATCCAAGAATTCTGCCTCCAAAACATGTGTTTTCCAATATGCTGTGAAAGTAGTATTTATTTTCAAGTGTTTTTAAGAGATATGATAGCAGATTGAATCCATATTATCATTCCATTTTTGGCTATAATTATAACGAATAATTTCTGAATCTTGCATTTTGTTAACTATACAGAGGCAAGTTTGGAAACCTACTACTTTCAGAAAACTAAAAACTTAGTTTTTTAAAGAAATTAATCAATGACATTCATTCATCTCTTCAACTGTTTATTCATGCATTCAACAAATACTCATTGAGCATACAATACATGCTGATAACACTATTGGCACAGGGAAACATGGCTTTAATAGTTTAGAACTTTATAATCCAGAAGTAATAACCTGTGATAGTGTCAATAGTTTGCTTTTCTCAAATTCATGAACAAAATCATTCCCTACTCCCCAGAATCTAAACAACTATAAGGTTCATACACCTGGCCAGGCATTTCGGTTGCTTCCAAGACTTTGCTATTGCAAATAGCACTTTAGGAGGCCAAGGCAGGTGGACTGCCTGAGCTCAGGAGTTCACAACCAGCCTAGGAAACATGGTGAAACCTCCACGCTACTAAAATACAAAAAAGTAGTCAGGTGCATGCTGGTAGTCCTGGCTACTTGGGAGGCTAAGGTGGGAAAAATTCTTGAACCCGGAAGGCAGAGGTTGCAGTGAGCCGAGTTCACGCCAGTGCACTCCAGCCTGGGTGACAGAATAAGACTTCATCTAAAAAAAAAAAAAAAAAAGTGGAGGACTCAAGATGGTGCTGTGAGAACAACCCAGAATTGGAGCTCTCGCTGTGTCCGCGGAGAGGTGAGTCTGAGCTGCATTTCCAGACTGATCTTTGTTGCCCACGGAACAGGGAAATTCCCAAGTGAAGAGGAGACGCGGTACGCCAGGCAGAAACTCCGCCTGGCGAAGCCAGCAGCCGGGGTGGTGGTGGCCGGCCCTACCCAGTGCTCCCCACAGGGCGCGCTCGTCCGGGTGCCCCATTGAACCGGCAACTGGAGAGGTGAGAGGGCTGGACTTGAGACTGAGCTAGACTTGGACAGTAGGCCAGCCCAGGGGATTGCAGGGACAGAGCGTTAGGGGTGGCCCAGTGGGACGAACAAAACCACGATTTCAAACAAGCCCCGTGCAGACGGCCTGAGGCGCTCCGAGGGAAAGGGGCGTCCACCATTACCGAGGCAACCCGCCCCAACTGAGATACACGCCCATTGCTGATGCAGCCAGCCGTTGCCGAGGCAACCCGTCCCTACTGAGATACACGCCCACTGCTGACGCAGCCTGCCATTGCCGAGGCAACCTGCTACAACAGAGAGACTCTGCCGCAGGGTGTGGCGGAGAAAAGCAGAACAGCAGAGCCAGGGCAAGCATCACAACAGCAGGGCGGAGCCTCGGCAGGCAAACAGTGGCTAGTCTGTGTCCTAGCTGGGCAGGACCTCAACAGACATCCAAAAATAAAGCCCAAACCCCTCAACACAGAGCATTTGAGAAAAAAAAGGGTTTTTTTTAATGAGCTCTGTTGCAGCAGAATCAAACATAGCAGCCTAACAGCCCTGAATGAACAACACAGCTCACAGCTCAGCAATCAAGCTCCTATAAAGTACAAACTGTCTCCTCAAGCAGCTCCCTGACCCCTCTATATCCAAAAGACTGACATTAGGCAGGCATCATCCTGGGACAAAGATAGCAGAAAAAGAAACTGGTAGCATCCCATGCTGTGCCACAACTGCTAGAGGTGCACCCCAGACAAGCAGGGTCTGGAGCGGACCTCAGCAGTCACACAGCGAAGGGGCTAGACTGGTAGAAGGAAAACCAAGCAACAGAAATACTTCATCATCAACATTCTGGGTGTCCACTCAGAGACCCAATCGAAAAGTCAGCAACTACGCAGACGCCCAGCGGACAAATTCACAAAGATGGGAAGAAACCAGCGCAAAAAGGAGGAAACACCCAAAACCAGAACACCTCACCTCCTAGAAAGGAACAAAACTCCTCACCAGCAAGGGAACAAAGCTGGACGGAGAATGACTGTGACGAAACGATGGAATTAGACTTCAGAAGATGGATAATGAGAAACTTCTGTGAGCTAAAAGAACATGTATTAAATCAATGCAAAGAAACTAAGAACCTTGAAAAAAGATTTGAAAAAAGATTCGAGGAAATGATAACAAGAATGGATAACTTAGAGAGGAATATGAATGGATTAAAGGGGCTGAAAAACACAATACGAGAACTTCACGAAGCAAACACAAGTTTCAATAGCCGAATTGACCAAGCAGAGGAAAGAATATCTGAAGTCGAAGATCAACTCAATGAAATAAAACGAGAAACCAAGATCAGAGAAAAAAGCACAAAAAGGAATGAACAAAGTCTCCAAGAAATGTGGGACTATGTGAAAAGACCTAACCTACGTTTGATAGGTGTACCAGAAGGGGACGAAGAGAATGAATCCAAGCTGGAAAATACTCTTCAGGACATCATCCAGGAAAATTTCCCCCACCTAGCAAGACAGGACAACACTCAATTGCAGGAAATACAGAGAACACCACAAAGATATTCCGCAAGAAGAGCAACCCCAAGGCACATAATCGTCAGATTCAACAGGGTTGAAATAAAGGAGAGAATACTAAGGGCAGCCAGAGAGAAAGGTCGGGTCACCCACAAAGGGAAGCCCATCAGACTCACAGCAGATCTCTCGGCAGAAACACTACAAGCCAGAAGAGAGTGTGGGCCAATATTCAACATTCTTAAAGAAAAGAACTTTCAACCCAGAATTTCATATCCAGCCAAACTGAGCTTCAGAAGTGAAGGAAAAATAAAATCCTTTGCGAACAAGCAAGTACTCAGAGATTTTGTCACCACCAGGCCTGCTTTACAAGAGCTCCTAAAAGAGGCACTACACATAGAAAGGATCAACCAGTACCAGCCATTCCAAAATCACACTGAATGCTAAAGAGCTTCAACATAATGAAGAATCTACAACAACTAACAGGCAAAACAGCCACTTAGCATCAAAATGGCAGTATCAAATTCACACATAACAATATTAACCCTAAATGTAAATGGACTAAATGCACCAATCAAAAGACACAGACTGGCAAATTGGATAAAAACCCAAAACCCATCAGTGCGCTGTATCCAGGAAACCCATCTCACATGCAAGGATACACAAAGGCTCAAAATAAAGGGATGGAGGAAGATTTACCAAGCAAATGGAAAGCAAAAAAAAGCAGGAGTTGCAATTCTCATCTCTGATAAAATAGACTTTAAAGCAACAAAGATCAAAAGAGACAAAGAAGGCCATTACATAATGGTAAAAGGATCGATAAAACAAGAAGAGCTAACGATCCTAAACATATATGGACCCAATGCAGGAGCACCCAGATACATAAGGCAAGTTCTTAATGACTTACAAAAGGACTTAGACTACCACACAATAATAGTGAAAGACTTTAACACTCCACTGTCAATACTAGACAGATCAACCAGACAGAAAATCAACAAGGATATCCAGGGCTTGAACTCAGACCTGGAGCAAGCAAACCTGATAGACATTTACAGAACTCTCCACCCCAAATCCACAGAATACACATTCTTCTCAGCACCACATCACACCTACTCTAAAATTGACCACATAATTGGAAGTAAAGCACTGCTCAACAAATGCAAAACAACTGAAATCATAACAAACAGCCTCTCAGACCATAGTGCAATCAAGTTAGAACTCAGAATACAGAAACCGACCCAGAAGCGCACAGCTTCATGGAAACTGAACAACTGGCTCTTGAATGTTGACTGGGTAAACAATGAAATGAAGGCAGAAATAAAGAAGTTCTTCGAAACCAAAGAGAACGAAGACACAACATGCCAGAACCTCTGGGACACATTTAAAGCAGTCTCCAGAGGAAAATATATAGCAATAAGTGCCCATATGAGGAGAATGGAGAGATCCAAAATTGACACCCTATCGTCAAAATTGAAAGAGCTAGAGGAGCAAGATCAAAAAAACTCAAAACCCAGCAGAAGACAAGAAATAACTAAGATCAGAGCTGAGCTGAAGGAGATTGAGACACAAAAAACCCTTCAAAAAATCAATAAATCCAAGAGCTGGTTTTTTGAAAAGATCAACAAAATAGACAGACCACTAGCCAGATTGATTAAAAATAAAAGAGAGAACAACCAAATAGATGCAATAAAAAATGATAAAGGGGAAATCACCACAGATTCCACAGAAATTCAAACCATCATCAGAGAATATTACAAACAACTCTATGCGCATAAACTAGTAAACCTGGAAGAAATGGATAAATTCCTGGACTCCTGT